GGAGGGGAGGGGGCAGAGAGGGACTCAGCCCGTGGGGGGGTGGCGGCCGCGATGTTGGGAGGCCAGAGAGCGGCTGCGCAGAGGAAGGCTGGGGGGCGCTGAGGGGGGAGGGAGGGAGGGGGGGGGGCGGGGAAGCAGGCCAGTGGCGGGCAGGGGTTGGAGGCGGGCGCGCGCGGAGGTGGCGGAGCGGTCGGGGCAGAGAGGGACTCATTCCGTGGTGGGGTGGCGGCCGCGATGTTGGGAGGCCAGAGAGCGGCTGCGCAGAGGACGGCTGGGGGGCGCTGAGGGGTGAGGGAGGTAGCGGGAGCGCGCGGGAGCGCGCCACCTCTACCTGCGTGCGCCCGCGCACACACGAGCGCGCCTTTTTCCCCGCGCGGGGGAAACCCGAAACGAAAGAAAACCCTCTCAGAAAGGGGCGGACGCGAAATGCGACTTTGAGCCCGTCCATCTGCCTCCTCCTTCGGGAAGTTAGAGCCAAACTTCCGCGGAGTGCGAGCCTCGCAGGAGAGAGACTCTGGCGCCAAGTGTGGAGTCGCCCCCCCTCACCTCACCTTGAGCCTGGCAGCGGGGAGAAACCTGTAGGGGGGAAACCCCGAAGCAGGTGAGCTTCCTGGGGGGACCAGGAGGCTGGGAGTGGGGAGGAGAGGGAGGGAAGGGGGCAAACAGGAGGCCTGGGATGGGGGGAGGGGAGTGGGCAAGGCAGAAAAGACCCCCAAACAGCCCCCCTGTCACTCAAGGAAGCTAAACTAGTGGGGACCTCAGGGAGAGGTGGGCCAGGCCATTGCTGGTTTTATTAATATTCTCTTTCTCTCTCTCTAATTAGGTCGTATTATTTTATAGCTGAGACCCAGTTGGTTGTCAGGTGCTGGATTCAAAGCTGGAAGAGGTGAGTTCTAATCCTCCCTCGGCCGAAAGCCAGCTGGGCGGCTTCCCGCCGGTGGCTCTTTCTCTTCTCTGGGAGAAAGTATTGGCAAGCCGCTTCTGAACAATGTTGGCCAGAAAGCTCCGTGGATTTGTTCCTGTCGTCACCAGGAGTCAGGATAGACTCGAAGGGCCGTAACAACAGCAGCGACAACAACATTCTGTTGTTAGAGTCGACAGAGAAGGATAGGAGAGGGACTTTCCCCTATCATCAATATTATTAGGGTTCTCTCTCTCCACATATCTAACTAAATCATATTCTTTAGTTGAATATAGATTAATTAATCGACATTTAGTAGAGGTTCACGTGGGACAGAGCCAACAGGCTAGGAGAGAGTGTAGCCTCTGTTTACTATTACTAGTTACTATTAGAATTCTCTCAGTGTATTGATTTGTGTTTAATTTTATTATGGTAACCCCATAAGCTGCTTAAAGTCTATTTCTGCTCCACTACTTTTGAGGCATATAAGTTGCAGTAATTATTGTGTGTTTGTGCGTATATATGTATTGTACATAATTAGATCATATTCTTTAGCTAGAGAGATTAGAGTGGCAGAGAATGGATGGAGAGGATACAAAGACTGTGGGAGTTACTGTTGGTTTTTATTATTATTATACTCTCTATTACATATAAACTCCTTCAGGCTTACAGCTCTGAGGAGCGCACGAAGAACAACAGTAGCAAATGATGGCAAACCATAACATATACATAAAAGTATGGTAAATCTAATATTTTATCACAGTGTATACACACAGACTTTCACACATATACACAGAGTCATTCTGTACTTGCCACAGCAGGTGTTAGAATTTAGCTGACCTGGGCTAACCTTAAAAGACTAAGATTTGGAGCCAGTTACTAGTGGGATGGGAGACCACCTTGAAATGTTAGGGCTCTGGGCTTGCCTGGGAAGGCAGTGAAATACCCCATTGGCATTGAATTGCTTCCAAACTGTGGTGTGGAAAAACAAGTTCTGTGTGCCGGGAGTTACCATATGATTCTGCATTTAAATAGAGAGGTGTTAAAGTGGTAGAAAGCCAATGACTAGGAATAGTGTTACAATTATATTTAGATATATGTACACATATGTATATGTATATCGCCATTATTGTGATGATATGCAGTGTGCTGTTTAGCTGTATATTATCATGAATGTTAATATTGTCTATACTGTTTATGTGTATGAACTTTATTAACATAGCTTTTAGATGTATATTATTAGATCAGTTTACTGTTAGATTATATTAATAATTCATATAGTTACGTTATATTATTCCACAGTGAAAGGCATAAATGTTATTTGTTAATACTTCTTGCAGTACTTCCCTCTGACATGACACCTTGCAATCCACCAGCTGCTATCAAGGATTTGTACCAAGTGGGACTGGGGGAGTGCTGTATCATAAGAAAGACCCACCAGTGTCCCTGCATGTAGACACCCACACACAAGTTTAAAGTGTCAAAGGACAGGCTTGAGAGAGGATGAATGTATTATCATCACCATCATACGTAGCAGTCTGTTGTAATTGCATCTTACCTGGCAGTTTTGCAGCAAATATAACTAGATCCCTTTTTTGAGGGGTTGACAGTATTAATGGAAAAGATGTATGGGGTCTACTTTGCTGGGAAGGAGTAGAAGGAAAGAATAGTTGAGAGTTTGTTTACTGATTGATTTGATTTGTATCCCACCTTTGGCTTAAATTGTGGTCCTTGAAGCCATTTTCTCCTACAATAACAGCGAGCTTTCTTGGCTGAATGTGGACTTCAGTCTGAGAGTCTGGTTTGGTAGGCTACCTATGTTGATGAAGATTCTCAGTCATTGAGGTGGAATTATCTGGAGGCTGAGTCATGGCAACTGGACTTCTTTTCTGTTGGTTAGATACGTTTCGCTGCTTGGACAAGCAGTGAAACGTATCTAACCAGAAGAAAAGAAGTCCAGTTGCCATGACTCAGCCTCCAGATAGGCTACCTATGGTTGGTTGGTTTGTAATTTAGTGTGTGGCACAAACAAAGGCATACCCTATTTGTGTGAATTGAAGGTGTTGGGAAGCCAGGGCTGGAAAAAAGTGAGCTGGTCCTGTATTAATTAATATGGTGCCATCTGTGTTCAGGGTTGTCAGGCTGGAGGGGAGGAGTCTTTGTCCCACCATGAGCATTACAACTAAGAAAATAGAGGAATTGGTACCATGGGTAACGAAAAAGATGCAGGGATTTCAATTAAATATAATTGGGCTAAATTATAGTATTGGGATATTGGGCCAAGAGGTAAAGTTGATGCTGTAGGAACAGGAAGCCTTTTTAAGAAGGTGAGCATGTGCGATAAGTGGATGAGGTATTGGGAGTAGAAGGTGAGAAGGGTGTGTTTTGCCGTGTCTTGAATTGTAATCTGAAGAGGGCATAGGTGGTATGTGAAGAATGCATGTCTGTCTGTCAGCCTGGAAATTACAGGATGGCTGAAGTTAGAGGCAGCGCACAGAAAATGGGAAGGGCTGTAGCCCTTTGCACGCTTAAAAATAAGAGTTTTTGAACAGGGAGGAGTTCATTTCTAAATAAATATACATCAATTGCATTGCTACTTTGGGAGATCCAGGAACAGAACAATATTCTTTTAAAGGGGTGGGGGGAGTTGTAGAGATAATTTCTGGGAAAACTGAGCTGCCTGGTGTGTGAAAAGAAGACCATTTCATGTAATTGAGTGACAGGTAGCCAAATGCATATTCTGGAGCTGAGAGAGAGCCTAACAGCACTGCAGAACGTGTCGTTCTAGGGTTGCATTTGCGCAGAAATCCAATGTTTTGGCCGACGCAACTTCTATTCTAGAATGTAAACAATTTAAATGTGATTGCACCTGCATTTTACAAAGTTGGTCTTTATTCTTAGGGGGTGACTTTAAGCAACTTTATAGAACTTTAATGTTGTAACAAGGAAAGGTAAGGTGCTGGGGAAAGATGAGCATGAATTGTTTTGTTGATTTGTTTGACTTCACATGTCTTTTTAGGGCATGTACTAGGTTAACACAATATTTGTTGTTTTCCATTCATTTGTTTGCTGTTTTTTTGTCTATTTATACTTTTGTGTGCATGCAGTCTAATGAAGTTTTTACTGGGAAGAAGCATAAAAATGTTGCCTGTTCATTTATTACAACCCCCCATCTCTCTCTGAATGATTTGGAAGACAAGTCTATAAAAAAAAGCAGGACGTTGTTTCCCAATTTGAATGTTGCATAGTATCATGCCTAGCAGAATGGGATCGAAAATGAACATGAGGAGAGACTTCATTAGAGTAAAAACTCATTACAATGGGTAAGTTATATTAAGAGTTTTTATGCACTGCATTCTTCTTTGTCTGTTCATTTTGTTCAGGTCATTTTTGTATTCCCCTTTTTTTTCATTGCAAATGGAATTGCCTTGTACCAATTGTAGTTGGCCTAATGAAATTTTGGAGGTGTGGTTTGCATCCTTCAGCTGTCTTGCTTTCTTAAACATCACCAATGTGACTGAAGCTCTTTTAGGGAGCAATAAAGAGGAATTGCAGAATCTAGACTGTGGAAGATGGACTAAAGTGGAAGATGGACTGTGGAAGATGAACTAAAAGTCAGACTGAACTGCTTGTGATAGCCTGGCAGAATGGACATAGGAATGAAGAGAGATAATTTAATCTAGACTACTTCGGCCACCTCTCCTTGTGTGCATTTGTGGTTCCCAGTTTTGGAAACTTGAACTTTGGAAACAATTTTGGTACTTGAGCCTGGAAGGGGGGCAAGGGAGGGAATTGCAGAAATCCTAACCCTGTCAGGCCAGGGGTTACATTGCTGTCTCTGAACATGGTTTAAGATCTCAAATAATGTTCATTCAGATGTATCCGAGCTGTCTTAGTGGAATTGTCTGGCTACTTTTGAACTATAGATTCTCTCAAATGTTACATAGCAAACTGTTTTTTTGGATTCCAAAAATATATTTTTAAAAAAGATGTACAGGCACTAAGGGAGATTGGTGAAAGTTTCATTTAAAGCCCCTTCGAGAATTGCCATTGTGTGTACCTCTTTTGACAGTGTACATCTAGCTTAGAATCATCCCATAACTCAGCCATAGGCTGCTTGAATATCAGATTTGGCCTTATTAGTTTTAATGACACCGGCAATCAGACATGTTGGCAGATTTGCTTGTAAAGGTAGTGTAATGTTATTTTATACCTTTATTGGTATACCTGTGAATGAAATACCTCATTGCTGTTATAGTGCATGGGGAATATAATAAAAAACCTTAACCTTAAAAGAACATTTAAGCCCATCTTCACATTAAGAACACATTTATAAGATACAAATAATGTGGGAGAGAGATTAAAGGACAGCAGCTTTAAAACGCAGTTTATCATAATGAGAAAAACAGTTTTTAGAAGTGCAGTTTTGGGCCCACTCCTAACCAGTTTGGGTAACGCTGTAAGGTTTGCATGAAAAAAAAAATCCCTTAGCTTCCTCTCAGAGTGATTTAGGCTTAACTGAATTGTCAGCGGCCTCTTACTCTTCCGTGGCATGGGCTTTTGGTGGCTGTTAATAAATGGCATTCGGACAGCATTTCTGGATCTCCTTCATGTCCTCATGTAATGATAATTTGGGGCAAATCCAAGTTTCACCCTTCTCTTAGTTTCGCATATTGTAAAATGGATTTGGTGAAAATCCTCACCCACCAACACTGGAAGCTTTGTTTACTACCACCTTCAATGGGAAGGGGTTTAAGCTGACGCTTGGAGTGTAGAAGTCTTTAATTACTCAGTCTGGATTTATGGATCACACGCAAAGAGTTGTATAAATAATAATTTATCAAATCACGGTATAAAACATAGAATGAAAGATTGCCGGTATGTGCGAAGGATTCCTATTTTTATACGATCTGTGAAAATGCAGATCATCAAAATATAAAATTAGTGTCAAGAATTATTCGGGAAGGTGCTAAATTATTTAAGGTGTCTATTTCTGGTACACAACACCTTTGATAGTATGACTAAATTGAAGTCTTGTAATATAAGCATGAGGAAGTTGTACTATTCATGTTTGCTAATGTGTATCCTTGGATGCTTAAAAGGTGGGTATTTGTACATCTTGGGTGTGACAAATTAATTGCTTAAAGTAGCATAAGTGTTCGTGCTGAATGACTAAAGTACAGGTTGCAGTAATATAATCTTCCTTTAGGAATGAAATCTGTTGAGTGTGGTGTTTTAATTAAATTTGCCAAAGACGACACTTCATGATGGAATAATTCGAAATTTTGAGTAAAAGGCAGTTCTTCTAAGTATGAGGCCTTTTCTCTCATCTCCTGCAACATCTCAAATCTTTCTTAACAGTTATTCATTTCCATAACTTGAAAACTCATTACCTGTCCTTTCTGTAGTGTACATTTGATCTAGATTGCTGCTGTTTAATGCTAGTTTTTAAAACTGCTTTGTTGTAGCTGCTATGTTATGTTTGAGTGATTATTTCTTCTTGATTCATTGTTTCCAAATTGAATAATCCCACCCCCCCTACCCCCACCCAGTTTATACTTTCTTAACCAAAAATGGGAATGAGAGTTTCCATTTCACTGTTTTGCAACTGAAAATAAGGATGCTGCTTTTTCCTCAAGAAATTCCTCAAGAAATTTGATGGCTCTTGAGATAGGCCAGTAAATGTCAGCAAACAGAATCACCAAGATGGTCATTCAGTGACCTGAGTGCAAAATATCCAATATTTTTATTTATCAGTAAATGGCAGAAATTAGGGTAACATTGAGTAATAATTTGGCTTTGAGATATGATACATTTTATACTTTTCTGAGGCATCCAGTAGCCATCTAAAATGTAAAGGATGAACGTGTAATGTGCATATGTAGCTAATTGCCATATAGTAATTTGTTTGTCTAGAAATTTCTGGAATTATATCTGACTTTTGCGTATCTTAGGACGCTTCTCGGATTACTCCCTTAAGATCTTCTTGTTTTTGAAATGGGAAGAGATTAGGTGCTTAGGTTGTGTAGCTGGTCAGGTATAAAAATGAGACTATTTTACAGCCTTCCAGTACATTTAGCACTTTGAATGAGGCTAATGTGTATTAGTTGGTTCCTACAGTCTATCTTCCTGTAGAAAGGATGAGGGGATAGATTTTAAGGAGCTTTCTGTAGTTTTTTATTTGACAGGCCTGTGTCCACATGCAGGAATGAACTTGTTCCTTTGCCCTGTTGTACAAACAACCTATATATTGACAGAATTCATGCATTCCACTTACATGCGATTTGTTGGATCTCACCATTGGTTAGGTTCACACAATTTAATAAACTAGACCTGAGTCACATTCTGTCTTAGTGTATGTGTGTATCAAGCTGTTGTGGCAGTGTATGATCCTGCTCCACTGCAGTTTGAAGGAGTAAGTAAATATACAGAGTAAGGGAACTTTGCATTGCAGTAAGCTAAACAGCTAAGCAAGGTTATTAGGAAAATGTATCCATCTTGCTCTAACTTCTTTTCGTGGGTTCAGTACATTCGTTCACTTTAGCTGCCCAATTACATTCTGAGGGATCAATCCTTTTTCAAGCCAAGTATTATTTACTTATATTTATTTACCTGTGGACAAATGTTGCATAGTTTCAAAGCTTACTTCCAATATCTTGAACGAGGAAGCTGCTGAGGATCCTGACTGAGATAGTCTGTCTTTACAAACACCAGGCAGTTTAAGCATGCACTTACTTAATTTGTGAATTCATCTCTTTCAGGGACATCCTTATCACAAACTTGGGTGCATCAATGAACTATGATGAACTTTGTGATGAAGTGAGAAAAATGTGCATTTTATCACAGGAACAACCAATTACCCTGAAGTGGATTGATAATGAAGGTATTTCAGGCTTTTGTAACCGTGTTAGCAAGAACCCGAACTTTTGTTGGTTTCACACTATAAATTCACCATATTCTTTTGGAGATCTCATCCCATACTTCCCTTGGAATAAGCGAAATTGAACTAAGTGGCCTTTTCTGAGTAAACAGACACAGGATCCATCAATCGTCTGTTGAGAATTTGCTGTAGGGAAAGGGCGTTCACCAACTAATGAAGACTTAATAATGGAGTACTTGCCATTCTTTTGAAGGTTTACTCTGCTAATTAGAGGGAAAAAATTCTGACAGATGCAATTTACATCCGGCTCTACTGTGTGCTATTCTGATTTTCAGTGTTTTATTTTTATGCCGGGGTGAAACACAGGGCTACCATCTTCCCATAGCCCATCCAGTGAATAACAGCTGTGAGATTGAGCTACACTCACATTTATGAATGGAAGGGTCTCTGGATCCCAGCCTCAGTCATAAGAATAATTCTTGTCTTCACTGTTCTGAAATGTATAAATGAATTCACTTGATCTCCAAGCTGCACTGTTTGAAAATCAGACAGAAAAAAAAAAACTTTAAATCAGAGAGTTGTATACACAGGTTGCTTCCATAAATGACCTTATTTCTTTCCTTTTTTTTTTTTTAAATAGGTGATCCATGTACCATTTCATCTCAGATGGAACTGGAAGAAGCCTTCCGTTTGTATTGTCAATACAGGGATGAAGGGCTTATTATTCATGGCAAGTTTTGTGCTATCTGGGAATTGTAGTTTAGCAATCGTTTGAACTGTATCTTCTCAGATCAGAGATCCTCCTTTTCTTCCTTTCTGTCTTCTTTCTGAAGCAAACTCAAAATGCGGTTTGGAGGCGTGATCCGGCCTCTTCTCTGGGTTGGTTCTGGACAACAAGGGTCTGATCCTTACCCATTTTACATTTACCATAACATAATCCTGTCTACATACAGCAACAAATAACCAGAAGATCTACTTTACTGGCTCTTTGGTACTGAAGCCATTGGTGATATTTCTTTTCCCTCTGGAAAAGCTCTGGAACATTTTTCTGAGAAGGCCTTTTTTGCTATAAACTCTCTTCAAGAACTTGGTGAAGATTTTCACTTTTGGGGGAGGGTCTTCAGTGTAGGACTGTCTTGCTCGTTTTAATCAGATTACTCTTTTATGAGCTTTCAATGCTTGTTAATTGTCCCTGGAGTGTTTCATTGCTGTTTTCTTGTCTCACAGCTTTCTGTCTTGATATAAGCCACGTCACACTTTGATTAAGCAGAAGTGGTATATAAATGTCTTAAATGATAAATAAATGAGATGTAGTTATAATTATAAGCTGTGGTTTGAAAACAAAAAAGATCACAGGAATTTATCTTCTGCAACTTCTGCCCATTAACAGTATTGTTCTGATTTGCAAGCTCACCTGGATCTTTTTTATATTTCTTCTCTTGAATGTGTGCTTCTTGTATTACAGCATTCCTTGCACATCCTTCCCTTTTTCAAGGATTATTCACACTATAAATGTGTCCTTTTGTACATTTGCTTTGGCAAATGGTCACCCTGAACTTGACTTTACTTTCAGTAATTTGGGTGTCTTTAGAGACCCTAGTCTTGCAACAAAGCCTGCAAGGAACTGCTTAAAACACAACAGTCCCAAAATTTGTGATTACGGAAGTAACCTGCCACTGGCGATTTATTCGAAAGACTGAACAGCTAGAAAGACCGCTGTAGGAAATATATATTTATTATGCATATTTTATGTTTTGATGCAGTCTTCCCCAGCATTCCAGAACAACCAGGCATGCCGTGCCCAGGAGAAGATCGTAAGTATTGGGGGACAGGATTTGGGTTTTAAAAAAATTTAGCACATCCTCCCTTCTTATTTTCCTTCAAAATATTACTGGTCTGCAAAGGAGAACTGCAGTGTAGTTGTGATGTATTGCTAGGCAGAAATCCTCTCATATGAAAATAATATTTAAATAGTACAATGTTTTATTTAAATTATATCAAGGCATTACTGTAGCATTTGTCTGCATTTCTTTAAAGCAGCATTTTTTTTTTCACTCGAGTGTGTGGTTGTTTACACCATGATAGTGAGATTCTAGGAAAAGATGCAGAGAGGCGCGTTGTGTCTGCGTTCTCTGAAGTACCCTTTTGCCTTTGGCTCCAAAGAACTGCAGACTCTTATTCAGTATTAATACAATGCCTTCATCTTTATTTGCATACCTTATTTTCCCAACTATGGATTTATCTCAGTGAAGATGAATACTAACAGCCTCAAACTTGGAAAGGCAAGCAGGCTGTTATTCATTTTAGATTATTTTGCTCCTGTTTGATAGCTCCTAATGTAATTGGAAGCAGAAAGCTGGGTATACAGTGGCATCCGTGGGGGAGGGCCAGAAAAGTAAAGATGTTGGTCACCGCTGTGTGATCAAAGCCACATCCCTTTGTACATGTGTGTAATGTTGATACATGAACAGAAAAGACAGGGCTTCAATTGCATGGTCACTAACGCTAGTCTGACAACCCTGTTAATGTGTCATTCAAATTAAGAGACCTGGCGTAGGGCACCCCTCTTACAGGTTGCAATTTTGATTCATAAACAGTTCCCCAGGCTGTTTATGATTCCTGTATTAAACAACACTTTCCTACTTTCAGTTTTGGTGAGTCAGACTGAATTGTTTTGAAGCTTAGCAATCTGCTTTGTTCAAATATAGCCTTTAATTTCATTGGGAATTAATTCCAATTTAATCTGGGCCTTACCCATTTTATCTGCCTGTACTGATTGCATAGAAACAACTAACTGTGGATTTCTACCACGCAATGAAGTTGCTGAGTAATTTTATTCCGGGACACACATTTTGTTTGTCTGATAAATATATACAAAAAAAGAACATGTGTTGGTAGCGATAGATACACACAAAAAAGTGTAGCATCTCAGAACTTGTCAAAATTTTGGCCTGGGTCAAAATAACTGCTTTAGCATCCATGGGTGTTTTTGGTATATTTCTGAAAGAGCAGATTCAGCTGCCATATGACAAGTTTTAAAGCCAAGGGGAGGTTTTTAAATCATTTGTCACAGTCCATGTAGAGGAGTTCACCATTCTGAGTGAATAAATAAACTCTCAGGCTATTCTGCAGTATTTTCCACAGAAACAGATTAGTTCTGCAGTTACATCATACCCAGTGCGGTCTATTGTGTAGTTTTGTGAGTTACGCAGAACTTTTGTCAAGCTATAAGGTCACCTTGCTTGAGTAGATATCTATAGATTCGATTGAAGATGTTCCAGCCTATTTTGTAACTAGCTAGCCAACCCCTCCACACATATCTATATTAATAAATTATGGATTAAAATGAGGAAAGAGAATCCAATGTATGTAAATCTTCCCTCTCGAGGTAATTCCTGCGAGAGAATACTTGACAAGATATTGCTTATAGCTCTGTCCTAATTTCCATTTGCTTTTCATTAGGAGCAGCATGGAAATAAATAAAAACAAAAAACAAAAAACCCAAGCAATTTTTGGTGAGACGAAATAGTTCCGAATTGCATCCACTGATTTTGTGGAGCAGTTGTTTGGAAGTGTTCTTTACTTTCAGCTATCGTTGAACGCTATTGTTTCAATCGCAAGTTGCAAGAAAAAGGAAGGAAAGAGGGTTATCATACCTTACAAAAGGACTAAAGGATTATATGAGAAAAAGTGTCCGCAATACTTTAATCCTATTTAATTTGTTAATGTACTGGGACTCTAATAATTTAGCCCAGGCTAACAGGCCAAAGTTTATTTTGTATGTAAGATTACATGCTCTGGCCAGTAAGTTTTCCCTTAAGACCTAAATCTAAAGCTTGGATCATATGCCAGAAAAAAATCAGGTCAATTAAAACTGTTAATACAGCATATCTTCTTTCAACCACTGCCACCTAGATAGAGTCAGAAGTCATGTGGCATTTTCTTAAATCAGCTTCCCAAAATTGCCGCGGGGCTCTCCTGCTTCCTTAGTCAAGTTAAAGAAGTTCTAAGAGTAGGAATGGGAATAGGCCCCTAATAATATTCGCATTCAGACCTGTGTTCACTCCTTGCAATGGTCAATCCATTTGCAAGAGCACTTAAACCAGATTGGACGGAAATGCTGTAGATCCAATCTTTAAAGATTTGTTGGCAGGAGAAGAACTCAAAGGGAAAAAAATCTCTAAGGGGAAGCTGTAATGCTAGATATGAAATACTCACTTCTGGAACTGCCAAGTATTTTACTGGTGTAAATCTTGCTTGCTGCAGGAAACAGAGGTTAGCTAATCTAATGTCTGGCGGAAAAACAGCTTCAGCCAAAAATTGAATAATCTGATTATCATGTAAATCTAATTGGTATAAGACTAGCTTCAGCATGGAGAAACGAATGGGGGGGGGGGGGGGG